TGAATGGTCTCTCCCTCTGCGGATTAAGAAACTTTTAAAGAATCAAACTTCGATGGAAATGGCGGAGTTAGGCAGGTCCATGCAGCTAGCAGGGAAGGGAAGCTCACCACCTGAAGCCACTTTAAGCGGTACTGCAACGGAAGCACCAAACAAGCAGTTTCGACCATGGTTACAGCCGTTGTCTCCAGCAAGCAATGGGATTCTGCATATTCCCACCAATGCGCTTTCTCAGAAGACCCTGAATTCGCTCATGCATGGCAAGAACGTGACGCTTATGGACTCTGGTATCCAGAAACCTGGGAACCATCTGAATCCGCTCATGCATGGCAAGAATGTGACGCTTATGGACTCTGCTCCGCAGAAACCTGGGAACCATGTGAATCCGCTCATGCATGGGAAGAATGTGGCGCTTATGGACTCTGCTCCCCAGAGACCTGCGAACCATATTGTGAACAAGAAACAGCAAATCCCACCTCGAGGGTCAGTGAAACCGATGCATGATGTAAATGAGACTGTGAGGTCTAAAATGAGGGAGTCATTAGCGTCTGCGTTGGCCTTAGTTCAGCAACATGATGGATCCCCGAAAGGGGAAGAAAATGTAAAGAGTGGAGAAACCCCTGTGGTGAATCCAGAGAGTACGCAAAGTTTTCAGCCTGCACCACCTGCTAGCTTCAGTGTCCCTGTAGGCGGAGGAACCATGTCGGAATTTCCCACCGATGCTGAAAGATCTGTGCAGAAGGACGGTGAGATTCCCGGCGACATCAGGATGGAAGATGTTAATCAATCTGATGGACTTAAGTCTCAATTTGACGAGGTTTTCCCTCGAGATGAAGTTCCTTTTACAGATAATATTTTTTCCAACGATGACCTTTTACAGGGTAATGAACTCTCATGGGTTCTGGACAATGTTTCAGATCTTGACGAGACAGATGGTTTTGGAATTAATGGTGAAAAGTCATTTGAGGATCCAGAAATTTTGGCTTCTAAAATTGAAATGGAATTGTTTAAACTATTTGGAGGTGTGAACAAAAAGTACAGAGAGAAGGGAAGGTCCCTCTTATTCAATTTGAAAGATAAGAACAATCCTGAGCTAAGGGAAAGAGTTATGTCGGGAGCGATCTCTCCTGAGAGGTTGTGTTCAATGACAGCCGAAGAACTTGCTTCTAAGGAGCTCTCTGAGTGGCGACAAGCCAAAGCAGAAAAGATGGCTGAGATGGTTGTCCTGCGGGATACAGATATTGATGTCAGACGTCTGGTTAGGAAAACGCATAAGGGTGAGTTTCAGGTTGAAATTGATCCCGTTGACAGTGGCATGGTAGATGTCTCTGCTGGCATCACGTCACGTAGCAGACGTCGACCTAAACCCAAAACTAATTCTGCCGAAACCACTCTCAATGATAAGACAGCAAATACTGATCAAACAACATCACGTGATACTCCTCCGTCAACTGAAGAGATCGATCCCATGCAAGGTTTGGCCATGGATGATGAGTTGAAGGACGTGGAGTTTCTTCCACCAATTGTATCGCTTGATGAATTCATGGAATCCCTGGACTCTGAGCCTCCATTTGAAAGTCCACATGGTAATAATTCTGAATTGCAGGTGTCTGCGTCCGAGAAAAGTGACTCCGAAATTAGGCCACATTCAAAGTCTCCTAAAGGATCTCCGAAGGAAATAAGTGACAAAGATTCTCCTAAACCGAACCCCGAGAAGATTGATGAAGTTTCCCCAAAGCCTGACGTCAGTATCAAACTTGATGATGATATCTCTGGACTTGAGAAAACGCCTTCCCCTGTTGATGTTAAGGGAGAAAAAGTTTGGCATGGATTACTGCAACTGAGTATGTCTTCCGTAGTCCCTGTCACTGGAATTTTCAGAAGGTAAGTTCTTATCACGTAAACTATTATTATACAACTACTTTTTTTTTATTTCTTTGATACTTTTTCTTTAGGCATAGACAATTTCTTCTTTTTAATGCTAAACGTATATATTCTTTTGAACATTGAGTACTGTTAAACTGTTACTTGGATTGGAACTTTGTTGCTAGTTTAAATGTCTTTTTAGTTCAACTAGATTGGTATTTGAGTAAGCTTAAAAATAGTTTTTGTTGCTAGCGTGATTGAAAAGGAGCTCAGTGTGAGATACTGATAACAGTTCATTAGACTAGTAGGGAATGCTCGAGAGTCCTTGCCTAGGTTTAATGTTTTCCTTTGTATCAGTTTATCATGGTAGTTTCAGAGAGATTAGTTTCTGTTCTTATCAGATAAACATGTGTATGGTATTATGTTTGGTTCCTTATTGTATTAAAAGATTATATACTCGGACGTGAATCTTCAGTACAGTCAATCGATATACCACAACTTGATTCTGTTGATATTTGATGTACAAAAAGTGAAATTGAAGTGAGAAAATAAGCATTCTCTGACTGGGTAATTTTGTGGCAGTGGTGAGAAAGCAGACACGAGCGAGTGGCCGGCAATGGTGGAAGTTAAGGGTAGAGTTAGGCTGAGTGGGTTTGGGAAGTTTATTCAAGAGCTTCCCAAGTCTCGATCCCGTACCCTAATGGTATACAAAGCTTTCTTTTGTTATCACTGTAGTAGTATTACACTCAATAATCTCTTGCTTCAAGCATCAATAGAAGAAGTATCCCTTTTACTTGTTATATATATAGTGCTTGACTCTCATACTCCCTGTCTTATCTCAAAACTCATCTGTCTTCTCTTCATGGAAACCAGAAAGCAAAAGAGATTACAATCAAACTGTTCATTTCACAGGAATGCGACTCGTTTTGAGAAGAGAATCAACGAGATATTGATTGGGTCAAAATGTTGTATTATTTCATCCAAAAAAAACTTGGATGCAAGATCCTTTGTCTTGTTGTCTCTCTCTGAGTTAATGTCTCTGTGCGTGGGAGATTTTTATAGAATAATCAGGAAATTTTACAAAAGAATCTTTCGACCCCGCCCACATGCAAAACACATAGTCAATAAACTTTCCAGATGAACTTTGTTTTTTACCCAGACCCAAAGCCAAGGAACAACCTTACGTCATATATGCATCAAAAGGAAAACTCTAAAGTTGGATCTTTTTTTGGTCATGTGTTAATTGATACTTTTTTTTTTGTTTGCATTGCAGGTAATGTACTTGGCTTGTAAAGACGGCATTTCTAAGAGCCAGCGTGGCAGCCTTTTTGAGGTAAAGAAAAATCAAATCATTATTTAATAGTCTTTCAACTTGTTTGAGAACAGAAACAACGGTCTAACCTTTTTCTTCTTTTGGTTCAAGGTTGTTGATTCCTACGTTGCTGATAAAAGAGTTGGCTACGCAGAGCCAGCCTCAGGCGTGGAGCTTTACCTCTGCCCAACACGTGGCGAGACTCTAGATCTGCTGACAAAAGTCATCTCTAAAGACCAGCTCGATGAAATCAAATCTTTGGATAGTGGGTTGCTTGCTGTTGTTGTGTGGAGACGACCCACCGTTCACAAACCCAGTTTGAAACGTCAGCATTCTTACGCTTCTTCTGGCTCAGGAACCTCTGCTTTGTCTGAAAGCAAGAAGCAGAGAGGGAATCTCACAGAGAACAAACCTCTTGTTGTTGCATCAGTGGGGAACCATCATCATGGTTATGCTGGCAAAGCTGTGGAAGAAGATGATGATGATGATGATGCACCACCTGGGTTTGGCCCAGTAGCTTCGAGAGATGATGATGATTTACCGGAATTTAACTTCTGTTCCTCGGCCGTGCCAGTTTCTTCTCATCAGCCATTACCATCGTCTCAAACCAAGTCTTTGGATCAAGTAAGAAAGCTCATTCACATGTATGGAAACTCTGCAAGCAGCTATGATGATGATGACATACCCGAATGGCAACCAAATGTTCCTAGCCACCAGCTTCCACCACCCCCACCTCCACCTCCTGGGTTCAGACCAGAGATGAGTGTTCAGGATCAAAGCAGGACGATGGTTAGACCGTCGCAAGATGGTTGGTGGGATAATCAAAATGGTGGCACAGGGCAACACTATGATCACAACGGGTCAAGAAACAGAGGGTTTTAAAATCTCTGTTGATAAATAGTGTTTCTCTGTAGTTATTTTTTTTCTCTTGTTTTGCTAATCTCTCTCTTTAGCTTTTTGGAAAAACTTCTTTACCTTCGTTTTGTAGCCATCGTAGAATACAAAGCTTGAAGTAGTACAACTTCATAAAACATTTGTGCTTTTTCTTAATAAAAAGAAAAGAAAAGAACCATTTCTGCTCTTACAACGTTGAATTTGAAGGGTTTTCAGCATATTACCTATATGAGATTTTCAGCATATTTACATTCATGAAGAAACGTCACTAAAAAGGTTGTTATTGAGTATGATAGGTATAATGGGCCTAGACAGCCCGTTTTAAGCCCGAACTACTCTTAGCTCAGTCCAGTACGTTTCGTTAATGATTTAAGCACTAAAGCCCGTCCCCTGCATTTGTTATTTTTGGCATTAACCGAACCGCAATCGCAACCCGAAATAGATGACCGGCTCCATGACTTCCATCCAAATAATTCTGTTGTCATCAATTCTCAAATTTGTATCCAAGAAACCAAGACCGTTGGCGTTTTTGGTGATTATTCTTCTCATCATAAATTATCGACGTTAGCGCATACCCATAACCATGTACATCAATCTTTATATTCGTTTTTTATTTTTCTTATATTCTCAAGGATATAAGGATTATGTAATATACCAAAAACAAACATATCAATATGATTCATTAGAAATGAGTTTACAAACAAAGGGGGGCTAAGGAGACCAGACTAATGTGCCAAACAACACATCACTCATATTTGCATTTCCAAAAAAAACTATACATTTTACCATAACCACTCACATAGTCACATATCATTAATTTACCCTATGATAACCATCAACTTCATTGATACCACAACGCCCATTCATTATGTACTTATTATGGGTGTGCATACAAAAATAAAATAAACTTCACAACCAAGGATTCATCAGATCAGGCTGATACAGGTGCACTTGGGATAACCGATGATGATGACGATGATAGAGGTGCACTTTGTGTTGAAGGTCCTGATTCACACATATCCCCAATATCAAGCGTCTCTGGGAGGTTTTCTTGAGCTTCATTGCTGTATATCTGCATGAAGGGAGAGATCATAATATTATAATGTTTTTTTTTTGGTAAAAAATAATATTATAATGTTGTTGCAAGTGGATATAAATACGAGAGATTATTAGTAATGAAATTATATATACCTCAAGCTGATTAAGCATCTCAATGGTTGCTTCAAGATCACCGCAATTCGCAAGGTATACATCAGTAATAGACTCTTGAGAGAGACCAGAGAATGTCACTAAAAGGTATTCAATATCCATGTCTATCTCCATCTCCATATCAAACTCATCATCTCTTATCAGCTTGTACGCCACTTCAGATGAACTCTTGGGCATCGACACTTGAACGCCAGCAAAACTTAGCTCAAGTGTGGTAGGGTTGTTGGCAAACAAGAAACCGTCCATGTCAGCATGATCATCCAGTCTTTTAGAGAGTGGTACGTATGATGTTGCATGGGGATTCAATGCAAATGGTCCTCCTGGTTTCATTGCTCCTTTGTCTTGGGTAAGAAAGATACTCTGCCATATTCGAATTGGTATTTCATTAACAAACAAGAGACATAAGAGGGCAATATATGAATAACACGTAAGAAAAAGACATACATGAAAGAACCTGGTTACGAGTCGCGTTACTCAAATGACAAGAAAGAAAGATAATTAAAAAAGGCGATGAGAAGAAGAGTGGTTATATGCAAAATTCTAGAACAAAGAGGGATGGACTCGTGTCTCGTGACCTGGTCAACGATCGAAGTAAAAGGAGAAGAATAAACGAAACATGAGGAGAGAAAATGAGCTTACCAGAAAAAATATAAAAACTAGCGTTGACCATAGAAAATGAGGTGACGTGGTAATATAAAAGAGTGGCTTTGACTGGAGACACGATTATAATTATCCTTGCTCGGGATAAGGGCCGTAGCTGACGTGTCTTCTCTTTCGGTTAATACCGAATTACAAACCGGAAATTAGAATTAATAAATTCCGGTTTACTGTTTGGTTTATGTGTATCAAATGATATCAAAACAAAAAGAGTGGATAGATGAGCTTAGAGGAAGAAGGTAAAAGCTTCATATATCAATGGCTCTTCTCTCTCCATCTTTCTCCTCTCCAAGCTATCGTCTTTTCAGGTTAATTCATTTATCTTCACTATTATACGCCACATTGGTTCGAAAGCTTTTTTTGTGATTTTTGAATTCTTCAGGTGCAGGAGGAGCAACAACATTACGAGCAAGTATCATAATCATGGAGGAGGAGAATCAAAGGAGATGATGATTTCTCCGTCTCGTGTTTCTAAGAGATTGGTTTCATCAGAAGAGGGGATTTCTCGTAGGGATTTAGTGTTGATTGGTCTCTCTTCTCCCTTGTCTACTCTCTTGCCACTGTCTTCTTCTTCTCCTGGTAAAGTTTTTATCTTTATCAAACTTGGGTAGATTTTTTTTTCTTTTTACCTTTTTAGCTAAGATTTTTGGCTTATGGACCTTCTTTAGTGATTTGTAAGTAGAATGTGTAGAGGGAATCTTTTACGTTGTTTAGGCTATCACTCATTTTACCTATCTTCTGGAATTCCCATATGCATTCGGTATGATTAACTCTCTTTTTTTATATTTTTCTTGGGTTTCTGTTATTTGCAGTGACTCATGCTGCAGAAGAAGCTGTGAAAAGTGGTGCGGAAGAAATTAAAATGGGTTCTATGGTGGATGATATTAATGCTTATTCTTATGCTTACCCACTCGAGTTGCCATCTGAGAAGCTTGTCTTCAAATGGTATTCTTATTTATGTCTCATTCACGAAATTAGCTGAATCATTTGATCTATAGAAGAGCTCAAGCTTTTTCTTGAAGCTTTCACTTCCTAATTCAACTAAACATTGATAATGCAGGGTTGAATCAAGAAAGCCTGAACGTTACTCTTCAGCTGCACCACTCTCTCGTAAGTTTCCTTCCTTATAACTCCATGGATATCTGTGTCAATACTTTCCTCTCTAACCACCATTCTAGTTACCGTATGTCCATCAAGTTTTTGACTGAATCTGTTTAAAATGGTCCAGCTGATGCGCGTCTACGTATTGTTTCTGAGCGACTTGACCTCTTCGACAACCTAGTGATTTCTGTTTCGGTAAAGTTTTTGGTGTTTGCCCACTTTACCATAAGACTACTTTTCTTTCTCGCCTGATGTGTTTTTACGGGTCTTGATCCAGATAGGTCCCCCAAACCCAAGCTTCCTAACATCAAAAGACAAGAAAGCATGGACCGCCAAAGACGTTGCTGACTCTGTTCTCTCTGATAAATCGGCATTGGTAAAACCCACATCTTAGATGACACACATCACAACGTTCTCAAACTTTTAATCAGATTGTTAGAATGAGTTTGCGTGTGTACTTTCCTGTAGCGTGTCACTTCAAGTCAGCGTCTAGAAGAGAGCTCGGTTCTTGATACACATTCTACTGATGTAAGTATAATCTTCTATAACAAAAAAAAAGAAGTAGATCTACAAAACGCATGAGCCTGAGCCCCATACGCTTTTTGTTTGCAGATTGATGGGGAGCCTTACTGGTACTACGAGTACCTTGTCCGCAAATCACCAACCAAAATCGTAACTCTCTCTCCCTCTATTTCTGAGTAAATCCTTCTTGTTTAAAGACATAATGGGGTTTGAGTGATGTTGTGAGTTATTACCTTGACTGTTATGTTATTTGTGCAGGCTGAAGCATCAAAGATGTACAGACACTACATTTCTTCAACAGCTGAACGGGATGGTAAACAACACTCACGAGAGATTGTTAACGCTAATTTAAACTCATAACATTTTCCTGAATCTGACACTTTGCAGGGTACTTGTACACCATAAATGCCTCAACCCTTGGCAAGCAATGGGACACGGTACAAAACCTGTAACGACTACTTTCTGTTATCTGGTCTGCTAAATGTGGAGATATCTGATATTTGAGTTTTGTATAAAACGCAGATGGGACCGGTGTTAGAAAGAGCAGTTGAGTCCTTTAGGCTTCTTCCTCCTACTGATAGTTATGTTCCTCCATTCAAGGATCCATGGAGGTTTTGGTGATTCGTCCATCTACTGTACCTCAGCTTTTCTTTATCAAAATTGCTTCTTGTTTTTTGAAACTCTAGTTAAATTTGATAGGAGAGGTTCAGAATCTTGACAGATCTCTCACTCTAAGTTATGAAAGTTGTATTAAAAGAGCCAAGAGGACTAGTTTGCCCAACTTTACTACCCAATGTATTGAGAGATGTATATCTGTACATGATGGTATCCAATGAATTTTTATGCATGTCTTCTTCTAACTGAGAATATCCTAAACTCAAAGTAAAGATAATACTATATAATATACACAACAAAAACAGATAAACTTTTTTTCATAGTTCTCTTTTCATAGGACTTTGCTAAATACAGTGACCAGTCTGGGTAAAAACATCAGGAGATAAACTGAAGGGGGAGCCACAAAAACCGGCTCATTCTACCCTCTTCTTACATATAAAATTTAAGATTGTCATCTCTCTGAATAAAAAGAACCATATACTTATATAAATTATCCATAACAATAAACATTAATCACCCACCAAAACCATGAAAGATTGAGAGACCATATAATGTTTTTTTGTCAGGTAGTAGAAGCACAAGCAATATACAAAAAAAATGATCATCCATGGCCACCTTGATTTAGAGAAACCAGCAGCTCTTTTTTTTTTCTTTTAAAACAGATGATCAAGCTCAAGCTTCTACCTTTCCCTTTTCTATGGACTCAAACCAATCATGGAAATGGTGGGTGCATTAGTCATCAGCCAACGGTGAAGATCACACCGTTGCTCTTCTTCTTAGACAGGTCTTTGTCTGAAGACGAGTCAGACTTGTCTGCTTCTCCTTCTTCATCTTCTTCCTCATCCAGAAGAATCACCTCTGCACGGCACTCGCTACTGCAAAAAGCTTTGTATCCTCTGAAAACAAAACCAAGACACCAAAACTTAACAAGACATTTTCAACTGTGTGCCATTTAGTTAGCATATGCATTCTAGATAACAAAGTACTGTAAAGAACCTAGCTTTCAATGTCTAGAGTTGAAAGAGAAGAAGGAAGAGTACCTGTACATGTATATATCTTTCCCCATACCCAACTTCTTGCTGCAGAAGGAGCAGAAGCTCAAGTAGTCATTGGGAGGTAACTCATCAGCAATCGATGTCAAGTCAAGAGGAGCAATAACAAAAATGCTCTCTTTCTTGTCTTCACAAATACCTTTCTCTATCTCATTATGCTCACGCAACTCCAGAACCTGACTCCCGTAAATATGAGTGGTTTTGGGGTTAGGACCATGTGAGATAACACAAGTGTAGTCCTCTGAGTTCTCAATGTTACTTTCAATATCTTCATTAAGTGATGATCCTTGTGTTTGGTTTATCACTTGACAAGTATCATTGTTGTTGACACTGATGTCCCCAGCATCCTTGACCATAGGAGATTTGGCAAAGGGGTTGTTGTTACCGGTTCTCATCATCAAGGACCCAAAGATCAAGTTTTTACTATCAGGTGAAGGAAGAAGAATCCTTGAGGAATCAGTGTGGTGATCATCAAGAGAATCAACAATACTCAAGCCTACTTTCCCAGAATCCCAGCTCCTTTGTTGCATCCTAGAGATTGACCTCAAAGAAGAAGACCCACCAAAAGGGTTCCCTAAAAACAATCTGAACTCCAAAGGAGATGTTGGGCTCCAAGCTGTCTCGTAATCTGAGAGAGACTTGGAGTTTTGCGGTTGTTGAGACATGGGTTTTGATCTGTGTCGGAAACAAGAGAGGGTTAAGTGTTGGGTTCAGATGATGATCGGACAAAAGAAATGTTGTTCTAAGACTAATCGTTGTCGGAAAAAAAAAAGCATAAAGCTTTGATCTTTCAATAAGCCAAAGAAGCAAACTTTATTCAAAACAGAGAAACAGAGGATATATCAAAACAGATTAAATAAAAAAGACAGAGAAAGGAAAGAACTTTGTAACTCTTATCACAGTAATCTGGAGAAGAAACTAGAAAGGAAGAATCATTATCAAAGAAGAAGAAGAAAAGCACCTGGGGGTTTTTCAGGAATTTCAACTCTGTTGTCTGATGAAGAAGAAGAAGAGGAAAGACAATGCGAAGTCTTCGTCTAATATCTGAGCAAAGTCTTGTGAGGTACTCTTCTCTTTCTCTTTCCTCAAAATCAGCGAAGCAGTGAGCTTCTCAGATTCTCTCTCTCTCTCTCTCTCTCTCTCTTGAACTCACGTTTTAAGTTCTCTCTCACAAATGCAAGTTATGTAGGGTCTATGTAGTCTGATAAAAAAGAATTTAACAACAACAAAAAAAATAAGTTACCTTTTTCTTATCATATCTAAGTTAATTTAATTAATATCAGATTTTAAAAATATTTAATCGGCGGAAAAAGTGGCTGAATTGACAGAATAAAAATGATAGCACATCTCTGTCGAAATTCTTTGGTTTGGCAGATTTGGCTGTCTTACTTTTTAGCTATTTTATTTTGGTTGCCTGTTCTTTTTCTCTACTCTTTTTTATAAAGGGATTACATGTAAGAAAAAGAAAGGGATTAGTCAAGTGTTCAATATGTTGTTTATATGATCATTGAGCTTAGGTAAATAATGAAGGATACTAATTTAAAGTTGTATATTTCTCATGTTTTGAGTATTTATTAATTAGCTTTTCATAAATATGTTAATAATTATTAAGATCATTATAATTTAACTTCATTAAAAACTTCATAAAGTGACGATAAGTAACAAATCATTTAAACTAAAATGAAAATTAAACTAACATTTATCATTTTAATTAAAAATATCATATTATTTATTAATTTACTATATAATTGATTTTTAATAGTTTACAAACGTTTATTATATTTTTAAATTATCAATTTAATAGAATTATGTAATTTAAATAAAATTAATATAGTAAAAAGATTATGTTAAATGGTTTTGTAGGTGTCATTTTAGTTTGCAAAAATATTTTATAAACGAATTATCGTGTTGAAATAATCTTAAAGTAAAATTTTTAATTTTTGAAAGTAATACTATTATGTGTCTGTAAAGCTAACCTCTTAATATTTTTAATTTTTAAAGTTAATATTTAAAATTTTCAACTAAAGTTAATAATGTTTTCAAACTAAGGTAAAATATTCTAAGAATAATAATGAATTAGCATTTGAAGTAACAAAAGAAAAAGAACAAGTATATATTTTATTTCCTTAACTAAATATTACCACCTCTCAACAACTTTAATATTCTCCTTTTATACTTAGCCGGTAAGTCACTTTTATCTCTGTACATGCATTTTTGAGAATTGTAAATTAATTAAATTTCGTTGGCTTGTCCGAAGATTATAAATTTTTTTTTTTTTTTTTTTTTGCCATCGAAGATTATAAATTTTTACATCTAAATTTTAGATTTTTATTGATGGACTGTATGGTCTTTGTTCGTTTTCTTTTGATAGATAGTAATAATATTTATATAAAAATGTTTTTCCAACGTTTATTTTCACTGGTAAAGGTATAATAACCTAATGGTGGGTTTATTTTTGTTTACGTTTAATGTAATTTCATTTCCTCCCTTAAAGTCCCAGTTATGTCGACATTATATAATTATGATGGTGTCAGAATCTACAAGAAATGTTAAAATTACAGTTGGTTTTAAATACAAGTAAAAAGAATCCCTACAGAGCAATTATATTTTTTGTCCTTTTTCTTTCGGTATTCTACTTTTGCTTTATACATTTTGTCGTAACATATAATTATTTTGCTTTCTTCATTTTAATTACGCTGTCGACACTTATCACCCTGTAACAGTAGTATTTTATAATTGACCAAACGCTATCGTTTATTTTGTTGTAACACACCAAAGGCTATCGTTTGTTTCTGGTTTTATGCTGTTTTTACTACTACACTATTATATTTTCCTGTAGTAATGGTTAAAAAAATTATCCGAAAGTTCCTGAACTTTGATAAAAACAAAACTCTAGAAATCCATTCAGACATTAGGCAAGAAGACAATAAAACCACAGAAAGAATAGATGTAATTCTAGACATAACTTTCAGATGGTAGTTAAACCGTCAATTTGTCTAACAAATCTATATACTAATAAAGTGTAAAACACTGTAATTGCGAAATTCCTAATTTTCATATAGATGAATAATAATACCTTTACAGTCAGTATTATATTTATTCACTGTATTTTATTGAAAACGAAGTCCTTATAAAAAACTAAAAATCTAATAAGTTGAGTTAATTTGAGCTAATTTATAAATCCGAAAATGCATGATGTTGTTTAATTATATATTTTAATAGAATTTGATTCTAAAAATGGTATATCGTTATTCGTTTGATGATTCTAAATTCTATTTTAAAATCTAATGTTATTAAATATGATATCTATAATTCTTATTTAAAATCTAGTGTTGTTAATGAATGATTTAATTTTTTTAAAATTTAATGTTATTCAGCTTAAAATTTTTATATTCAAAACTAATTTCAAATTATTAGTTGTAGATTCTTATGAAAAAATTATTAAAATTGAAATTAAAATCTAAGGCATGCTTTAGAGATTTTAAAATTTTAAAACTAAAGCTATTTAAAAATTTTAATTAATAACAAAACATTAAAATTAACTTTAAATCTTTGATTAAATAATACCCCCTAAGAGTTATGTTAATAAGCATCTCACATCAATATATCATCTCATGTTCGAATTATTGATGATAGATAGACATTATATGCATATTGTAACAGATGACAACAAATCCACTTTCCTGTATTTCTGTATTTATATAGTATGAATATACGATACGTGCTATTTTTAAAACAAAACAGTACACTTTGGAAATTTTGAAATATCACACAGCATTTATAGAGTGATGACATAATGCTATGTGAAAATAGTAACCTAAGAAATGAAAAGAAAAGGAAAAAGAGAAACCTGTAAGACGTTGACGGTCCGGCCTGCAAGGAAACGGCTAGGAAGTAAGATCGGCTTTCGTCATCATCGATTGACCGTCAAGCTCTTTTTATCTGCGTGGAAGCCGCGTGGAACGAGTCACCTTTTAACCAGACCAATGAACCATAGTTAACCACACATTTTTTACATTTTTACTACGACCATCATTTCACTTCTTTTCTTGTCGTCTTCTGTTCTTCTATTACACGACGACACGTGTACCCGTCCGTGTCAGGTTTCTAGTCTTTAAAATGGTGCGTTTGGGCTCTCACAGCCTTATTTTTATTTTTTTAATAATAAATCTTTAATACGCATTTCGAAAAATTCCTTTTGTTATATTTTAATTCATTAGGACGCAAATTCAATAATACTCCCATTTTTAAACACTGCTAGGCGAGTTATGTAAGAGGTGTGTCTGATAATTCCCTATATTTTTTTTTATATAATATCTAGCTTTACGATCGGTTATAATTAAACTAATTAGCTGATTAGTGTGATTAGGCCTTTGTGGTTGATGCTGGAGATGTAACAGGCAACGGATTGAAAACGTCGTGGAGAACGTACGTTCATATGATGTGTTGTCGGTGATAACCTTTTTCACTACAAACATATCTTTCTTTCCTTTACCAAAAAAATCAACGTTTTACCTTTAATGTTACTTGCACTGATATGTATATAGATTTGATTAAACATTCTGCTAATATTTTTACTTAAAAAAAGGCTGACAAGAGTTCAATTTCTTGTACCTTTAAATCTCTACAACTTGTCTTCAGAATAGTGTAAGAAGTTAACACATGTCAAGGACAAATATTGAGGTTTGCATATCATTTCAAACAGTATAATCCATCAATGCAAATGTTCTAAGCAGTATATATAATATATGTAATGTAACAAAAATTACTTTCATAACAAAACTATCTATTTTCTATAATTCTGGCAAAAATTTATGATCTCATAGATCATTGATATAAAGTGTATGCGGCAAAATAAACTTGGTCCAATGAAACAAGAGCAATCTTACATGGAACTTTTGTAACTACCAGTCACAAAAATCTGAATTTTACAACTCATAGTAACTCCCTTAAACTATACCAAGGGGTTGCCAGATTGAGATAAGAAGCCGCATCGGCATGTTTCCTACATACAAAGAGAAGAAAAAGAAGGATTTAATCATCATTTTACCCGCAGGTTTTCATTTGGATAAGAACAAGAAACCAAGTCTTACCGTGTCGAATTTGGTGGATTCGATGGCAAGACATTCTTCTTAGTACCATAGCAAGATTCTTAAGTCACTGTCTTAAGAAAGCACAAGATCATTGTATGAAGCTAAGGGAGTTTAGGCTTGAAGTTAATCCGCTGTGCCTTTCTCTCCTCCAATTGCCGCTACAAGGATTTATCGATTAGGTTATTCTCTACAATAAGTTCTTGGTCCATGGCCATATACTAAGTTGTGTTAATAAGATTCTTTTTTTCCTTCCGGAAGAGTAAACATGAACTCAAGTTTTAGTCGAAAATAGTGCAACAACTGTCTATCAAATCTAATACCTTAGATACCGTTTCAAGCGCATGGTCAGATCTGGCTAGGTGCAACCGCCACTCCATTGCCATTTCAAATTCAAGGGTGTTCGGCTGAGAGCCACGCGATGTAGACACCGTCTCCCGTCGCATTTGAGATTTCTGTATTTGAGATTTCTGTGTTTGAGATTTCTGTGTTTGAGATTTCTGTAGTTTGAAATGGCCGCAGAATGATAGCGGCTTCCCTGGAGGATTGACCTTAGCGAACGCAGCAATAAGGGGCCTGTTAAACAGACAAGGAAGATCATATTACACACATGCATACACATCATAGCACAGAACAAACGCTTGAAGTGAAACAAAACTAGATAATGTCAGTTCTAAGAGGGCTAATTTTATGTGCAGCATCACCAATATAATGTTGATGCTTAAGATACCGAAGCTTCATGGTTTCTTACATGTTCACTGAGGTAATAAGAGACCATAAATGATACAGTACAAATTCATGCGGTTATAGACCATTACTCATCAGGAGCTAAGAGAAAAAGAGGAATATGCCATGGGCAATTTACCTCCCATTCGATAGCAACAAGCATCCCTCATCAAGTCTCTCAATTGCTCTTACAGCAGCTTGTCTTGAATTGAATATGACCAAAGCTTCACCTGTACATCAACCGATGTGAGATGCCATAGTAAGACTAAAAACCCCCGTGAGAAAAATGGTAGCTTACCAATATGAGAAAAAGAGACTGATGTACGCTCTATCATCCTCGCTGTACATTGCTCATTCAAAGCAGAATAGACTATATCCTGAAATATAGTTAATACATTTCTTAGGTAATATATAAAGAGAGGTTTACATGAGGTAAACCAGCAAACAACTGCAGTGTTTACGGTAACATTGATTAAGCAAATACAAAATACGTGAATGTAACTCCTAAATAAGCTCTATACAGTTGCTTATACCTGCACATCCTCAGATGAATAAGTAGGATCCAAGTTTTGAAGGAGAACCAGTTTCTCTTCTTTTTCTGCCTCCCTCATACTTTCTTCCCAAGGCTGGCCATGGTTTAGAAAATTCAAAAGTCAGTCCAGATTCAATCCCAAACGTAATTTATTATATGACGTCCATAATCATCCAGCCAAGAGCCTGGAATGGTCAGGCACAAACAGGTGCGGAAACCAAAGACACAATTGAGTCTCTCGTGAATAGCGACTAGAGCATAGATACGATAAAAAAAGGTATACTTTCTGATACCATATGATTGAGTCATTAAACAATTCACAGAAATGAACTACCAGGCACCCTACTAAAACCAATGAATAAGTATGCATACACAAAAATGGAAGCAACCAAAATGAACCATTCACAGAACTGGCGGGAAAAAGTAAGGGAAGAATACTTACAAGAGGTCGAAACCATTTGCTGTTTACCTGAGATAAATACGAGGAAAACAAAAATCTATTAGATCTATACAAGGACTGTGGTAACACGTAATATAGAGAATGACAAAACATCACTAGAACTCTAAAAGTACAGAGTGAAAGACTTTAAAAAAATTTGGTATGTACAGAATTAACCGCTCGCAAAACCATATTCTTGCATCTAAAGATTTTACATTGACCACACAGTCTGACTAAAATCTCATGAAATAGCCAGTTCCAAACCAATGTACAATAAGTCATATAGCATGAATCACATAATAAATATAAACTTACAGCATCTGGCTTTCGGCTCACTTCAGTTACTTGATAATTTCTTTTGTAATCAATTTCCACCATCTTATCCTCAGCGCGTTTTAATAGTTTACCATCAAAGCTTGGTTTCTTCAATAAAACTTTTTCAGTTCCCGTTTTTGCATCTTTTCCTTCAGAAACTGACACCCCAAGATATGGCTTCTTCTTAACGAAACCGGGCTCATCGGTAGCGTCTTCACCTCCAGTCACTTTGTCTCTAGGTCTCTTGAAAAGATCTGTATCTCTTTTACCACCAGAACTAACGTTCTGCTGCAAAATGTTTGTACTGCGTCCATTTGATACTGTAACAGAACCATCTAGTTTCTGTTTCTTTTGAGGCCTGTCATCCAATCCATTCGACTCTTTACTATCTCTGTCTCCCGCGGGCATAGATTTTTGTTTAGTCAATGGTTTCTTAGAGCCAGAAGCTTCACAGCTGTTAGTATACCTTTCTTCTACAGGCATAGATTTTTGTTTAGTAAATTGTCTCCTAACTTCACTTTCTTGAGCTTTGCCATCACAATGATTTTCCGTAGAGCCCGAAGCTTCACAAGAGGCATGTTCATCAGTGTTTTGTTGCACACTAGAATCCTTGTTAGACCTTGTTAGGCCTTCTTCCCGACCAGAACTGCTTTCTCTACAGTCAGAAGATTCAATAGAGTTATCTTCAGTATTCCGAACTGAACCACAATCTGAAATATATCCATTTACGCCTGCTTGATTTTTTTGAACAGGAGTTGCTTCTTTCTTACTACCCTCTCTGTTAAAGATAGATTTAACTGCATATGATGTAAATAAACAATCAAAAAAGCTATCAATCACAGGAGAGAATACAGAAGGTATCAAATGAGATGAAACAAAATGTACCGTCAACTCCAGCGATTTTATCATCTATTGTATCCAAGACCTTACAGCTTCCAACATCAAATGCTCGGCGAAATACAAAGTCTGTTGACTTGATTTCTTCATCCGTGGGTTGTGGATTCCTTTCGTCCTTTGAAATGCATAGGACAGAGCACTTTCCACAAATTGCTTCCTAGTGGAATAAAGTTTATCAGTACACATGCATGTGCAATTTACGAACTGTTCACTGCACCAGCTATCAGTATATAGAACAAGTTATCTAACGCAAATAATACTCAACACTTAATATTGAGAATCAGTTACCAATGGGTTGACACTAGCGACGCCTGGACCTTCACCAGATGCCAAAAACAGTTCGTTTGGAAGTAAATCCGGGACTCTTTCAACAACATCAGGCGGCATCTCAGAAGGTTTAAAGAACCAGAGAAGCTTAACTTGCCTTGGATGTTTCGCACGCTTATTAGTGTGTTCCCAAATTTTAATGATCTTGCCAACGAAGAGTTCATCAGATTCCGGTTCATTAGGATCAGTAACCAAGACAGAGTCATAAAGACAGTATTCATCACCGTCAAAGGTGAAAGATTCATAGAATCGGACATCTTTCTTTTTTCCACCAACTCCTTTCTGTTTCCCCCACTTAAATTCTAATCCTTCATCTACTGCTGCTGCAGCTTCTTCCATTCTCTACAATAGCAGTTTTTAACCTGGGACAAGCAGCAGAATAATGCCAAATCAGAATTGCACGTCAACGATCAGAAGACAGGAACATTATTAATCTTAAAAAGATGTAGTTCCTCATAAAAGTAAGCTAGTAGCATCTCATCAACGAAAGAACAAGATTTTGCAAAAGAGATAACTGAGAATGGCCTCAAACCAGGTGCATAACTTTGTCCTAAGCTCATCAAATACTAATACCAACAGATACTTTTAAAAAAATAAAGACTACTAGATAACATCCAAATCCACCATTCCAATGAGTACATAATCAAACTCTATGATCAGCCAATCCACCATTAATCCCAATCAACCAGTCCCTAAATCACCCTGAATCTATATTCAGACCCAGTGGTAAAGAAGGCAATACATTCATCTTTCAAAAGATCAACAAAACTAGCCAAATTGCTTTTAAAAGTGACCTTTTAAGTGGAATGTGACTGAATTAAAGCTATTGTATTCTCCTGAAACACACAAAGATGAACTTCGATACTCAACAGAAAACGAACCTTTTACCTTCTTCGACTGAGAAATCAAAAGTTTTCCGTTCACCCAAAAAAATATGATCGAATCGTAGAAATCAATTGCTCGAAAATCAGAGCAAGGGGAGTTCGATTAAGCCACGATAAACCGGAAATTAGCGAGGCTCCCGGTTATCGCGGATGGAGAACCAAGAAAATAAAACCCTAATTTCTCGTTCAACAGTTGCGCGTTACTTCATCCCTCATATCTCTGGCTCTCAAATTAAAATGGTTCAAATCGTTATCTCTGAGGAGCAAAATCTCTCCTCTTTGTATTCAATTTTGTTGCAGTAAAAGGAGACACAGTTTCGTTGTTAATTTGATGGAAGAAAGCGCCTTCTTTTTTGTCTGGGGAGTTTTTCATCTACTTATTTTTTTTAAACGAATCTGTAACAAAATACAAATTAGGTTTCTAATAGAAGTTTCCTTTTCTGAATGTTAAAATCTTAAATCTGGGGACTTTTCATCTAACTTATCTTTTAGAAGAGGTGTGATTAGAGATGGGCTTTTGTTATATGGGCTGTAGAACTGCTATCGTAAACCAAAAGCCTGAAGGAGTGATTTAAAAGTTGTTACATGGGCTGCACAGATCCTAAAGTGAACGACGTCGTTTTACTGTCACAAATTTTAAAAAGGTTTGCGGTGAGCGTGGATCGAACACGCGACCTTCAGATCTTCAGTCTGACGCTCTCCCAACTGAGCTATCCCCGCCCGATGTCTATTTGTGCTATATATATTTATATAAACGTTGAGAATACTAAGTAAAAGAAAGTTTGACATATTCAACAAAGCAACTGAAGAATTGTAGCACTACCTACGGAATACAAAATCTTAGAGTTGCACTAATAAACAACACTGCCCACGAATTGGTACATAATGTGTCTTTTTGTTGTTTATCTTTATTACAAAGATAAATCCAAAAATATAATCTAGAGAAATGTGGTTTGGTTTTTAGTGTTTAAGCCAGTAGTTTCTTAGCTGAGCCATATGCAACAATATCTCGTCCCGACCTTGATTAGTCACACTACTGGTCATAATCCATGGTGGTGTTGTCTCAAAGAATCCTTGGATCAAATCTTGAAACTCCTTTATATTCTCCTCCGGTTTCTTCCCTCCATTTTTCTTCTTCTTCCTCTTGTCACATTTGGTGAACACCATAGTCATTGGAACCTGAGATTATTTATAGATACAATAATTCATTCCACAGAGACTTGTGAATATCATTCATCATGTTGAACAATTAATGATTGTGTTTCTCTTTCTTTTTATACCTGGTTTTGACCAAGCCAGCTAGCGTAGTCGAGATCGATTTGCTTTGGAGGAATGCTGGCATCGACTAGCAAGAATACCGAGACTAATGTTGATCGATTGAGGAAGTAGTCTTTCGTGAATTTGTTCCAGTCGTGTTTGAGTTCATGAGGTGCTGACGCATATCTGCGAATACCAAATGCATCAACTTCAATTTTTTTATAGCGAACAGCAACTAATTGACAATAATGAAGGTATGATTGAGACGTGAAGTATATGACTGACAGATACTTTCAGAACATTCTCATATTTAGATTCTGATGGCTAGAACCAATATAAGGGACTTTGCCAATGGTCTCATAAGCAACAGATGCTATAACTAAAGCTTACCCGTAGCCAGGCAAATCTACCAAGTACCAATTGTCGTTGATCCGGAAATGATTAATGCATTGCGTTTTTCCTACATAAAGAATAAGCCACAAAGAATTATAATGGGAAACCAAAGCTGCTTTTGTTTAGATTAGAAAGCTTCATTTTAAATACTATGGAGCAAAAGAATACAAATTCTTGCAATAGCCTCTTTCAAAGGGATGAATATACGACAATATTTACTCAGAATAGTTTGTACTTAATCCTAAGATTCTAAACATTGTAATGCTCACTGTCAAATACATACTCAAATGCTTATGGAAATACTTTCACAAATAGGCAAACTGAAAAATCTAGCATAATCACAAGCACAAGCACGAGATAGATGACTATCATTTCCACTTTTATAGTTTGCGTCAACAGATGTTTTTAGAAAATTCGCAAATCATGGTATACCCATATCCTAACAGGTAACCAGCTACGCCACGATTATATTCCATTCCAGGGGTAGGATTGCTTTACAGTCCACTCTTGTACAAGTATGATCATGACGAGCCACATGTTATTAGTAAACATTAATATCATCTTCACAAGATCAAACATAACACATTACTCAAAAGAAAAAAAATCAGTCTGTGTCCTTCAAGTCTTCAACCACTGAACTCAATTTAGCTCACATTACATTTCAAAAAAAATCCCACTTCCCTCTTAATATATCTTAAACTAACCAATACCTCAGGTTCCAAAGAAGCCCACAAAATACAAAACACAGACCAAAAATGAAAACTTTTTTCTATCCACAAACCTAACTCTATAAAACTAATCACAACACACTACCAGGTTTCTTCGAAGTCAAGGCAAGTCGTTTCCTCCTAACCAACGAATTAAGCAACGAAGATTTCCCGACATTAGATCTCCCGACAAGCGCAAACTCCGGAAGCCCATCCCCCGGACAATCCTCCGTCTTCACACTGCTCTTCACGTACTCAGCCTGAGCCACCTGCGCGTCCCTCGCGTACTTGCTCAGCACTATGTTCGAGCCTTTCAGTATCCTAGCCGTTAGACTCGACGGGTCGTCCCCGGAGATATCCGTCTCCGGGGGGATAAAAAGCTTGTCGAGAGGAATCTCCACGGGAGCGGAATCTTCCAGATCGGATGAATCCGAGACCGGGAGTGGTATGGGCTCAACGGTTGCGATGTTGGATTTGGGGGCGAAGGAGAAAAGGGTTTTGGGTAGTGAAACCGTTGGCTTAGGGTTTGTGAGATTGAAATGGGGAGAAGAGAGAGAGAAAGGGGGTTTTGAGAAGATGGAGGGGTGAAATCTTGGAAGCTGAGATAAAATCATATTAGATTTGTGTGTGTGTTTTTTTTTTATATATATATCAGTATAGTTGTATGAGCAGAATTTCTCTCTAGATTCTGAGAGCAGCCATGAATGTACGGATGCTGATGGAGTGAAGAAGGAGGCGGAGGTTGGAGGAAATATCCACAGCAAAACGCGGCGTTTTAATGGTGGGAGCTAGAGGATAAAGTTTTCTTATTTTTACAATTCGGTCTCTCTAGTTCTAAGATTATCTTGATTCAGGACTATTGTTTTTATGTTTATCACATACTGCCTCTATTTCGTTTTATATGTTGTTCTAGATTTTACACACATATTAAAAAAAAAAACTTTGAATTTATATTTTATCCTTAACTAATTCCTTGTTTTATTTTATTATCTTAAATAAGCTAAGAGAAAGAGGTAAAATTAAAATGGTAATCAAATAAATGTATTGAAAATATAAAATGACTTTTTTTTTGTCAACCTTAAAACAACATTTAAATTGAAACATATTTTATACTCTAAAATAGATGTAATACGAAAAGGAAAAAGTAATTTATTTGGTTAAGAAAAAAACTATTATACAGTAAAATTTAAAAACTTTAGAGCTAAATCATGATGAAAGCATGGTTAACAAGATCATGTCTCTCTATTTCTATGAGTATCCAATCGAGAAGAAATTTAAAATATTTAAAATGACTATCTAAATATAAAAATATTAGGTGTTTATCCGTGAATTCACAGATATAAATATTTTGTAAGCTTATATATCATATACTCAATGTCATAAATTTTCAAAGTTTTTACAATATAATCTTACCTTTAAATCATTTGAAAATCTAAAATTTTAATACTATTTTTAGTAGCATGAAATTTAGTGATAAACGCATTATCAGTGAACCAAATATATATTTTTAAAAAATCACTTTATAATCATCATATTATCTTATCTATTATCTCATTTAATCTTTCACAGTTTCTACGTCTCCATATTTCTTGTCTTGTTTGAATGTGTATGCATTTTTTAAGCATGAATTCTTAGAATCCCATGTATATCTTTGATATTTTTATTTTTTTATATATATGAATAAAAATATAGAGAATTCATATTCCAATTACATAGATTGTAATAAAATTAGAGAATAAAAGATATGCAGATTACTGCGAATTTAAGAATTCACTAACCAATAATAAAAGATTTTGAAAATTTTAATCTTTAGAAATCCGCTTCTTAATTTGATGTAAATTAATTTCCAGTCGTAAAGTTTCCATAAAGATGATGTAAAATAACTGATGGATATTTAGTAATAACAAATGTTTGTGAACTTATATATTCAATTATCACAAACTTCTCCAACCCATGTTACGTATCTTCTTCCTTCGCATATTCTTATTTTTTTTCTTATTATTTCATTTTTTTTATTAAATTTGTGCTAATATTTTCCTAAATTTTTACATAGTTTTTCCAAATATTTATTTTTATATCTAAACAGTAATACAAACCA